ACAAAAAAATGGCAAGGACAAAAATGATAGGACCCTTAACCTGATATTTTGTTGCACAACCTTAAGAGGCAATCACTGCAGCGCTCAGATACTTCTGCATGTGCCAACAGGTAGCTTGGTCCACTCTTCTTGAGAAGCCTATTACAGCTGTCTAAAGCTAACCATACACCTATAGATTACCTGCCGGTTTTCTATGGTCAGGTGGAAAAAGTGCAACAGATTCCTTCATCTATGCTAAACTGTGTGGATGGAGGAATCTCTCACTGGGCCAAGTTTCAGGCCCGCTGGCTCTCAAAACACCAGAACAATCTGATTGGATGCAGGCATTGTTCAGGTATTTTGAGAGCCAGCGTTCTGCACTGCATTCTATAACAGCATGTGCTGAAGGCATGGGTGCTCTGCCTTTAGGGCAGGTTCACACCATTTTACGGACCTAGATCTGGTCCCGAATATGGCGTGAACCTGCCGCAGTTCCAGTGCACTCCAGACCAGACAAAATAAGACATGCAGTATTTTTCTGGTCTGGAACGGACTGAGCTGGTGTGAACAGAGAGCAGAAATAGCATAGGGATACATTAAGATGCATTTTGGGTCCAGAAACAATCTGGTCTGGAGATGATGTGGTGTGAATGGGCCCTTGGCACAACACTATGGTGTGAGCGGGCCCTCAAATAGGTTGACTGATTACACAATTTAAACACGTGTGATACTAAAATGTTTTTTAGAAGTGCCAACAAATCTGCCCAGGCCATTTCAAAATAAATGATTGATTATTCTACAAAGATATCTCCCTTCACACTTTCCTTTCTTTAATCTATGACATGCCAGAGGCATGCAGGTATACGTGAGTCAATTGCTTTCCATACCATTCCTTTTCAGGAGGAATGAAGCATTACTGCAATGAAATGTAAGGGTGCACACTAAGGCCTTGTTCACACCAAGCGCGTTCCAGGAGCAGAGCAGTTACAGACCGTCTCAAAACTGCGCCCAATGTATTCCAATAGTATTTTGGGCTCTAGTTCACACCGCAGCGTTCAGTTCCAGAGCATGTAAGAAAAACTGGATTATTCTAGAACGCTTGCAAACGCATCAAAAACACATGCAAACGCCCTGCAACGCAATGAAAGCCCATTCTAAAATAAATCTGCCCAGGCCATTTCAAAATAAATGATTGATTATTCTACAAAGATATCTCCCTTCACACTTTCCTTTCTTTAATCTATGACATGCCAGAGGCATGCAGGTATACGTGAGTCAATTGCTTTCCATACCATTCCTTTTCAGGAGGAATGAAGCATTACTGCAATGAAATGTAAGGGTGCACACTAAGGCCTTGTTCACACCAAGCGCGTTCCAGGAGCAGAGCAGTTACAGACCGTCTCAAAACTGCGCCCAATGTATTCCAATAGTATTTTGGGCTCTAGTTCACACCGCAGCGTTCAGTTCCAGAGCATGTAAGAAAAACTGGATTATTCTAGAACGCTTGCAAACGCATCAAAAACACATGCAAACGCCCCGCAACGCAATGAAAGCCCATTCTAAAAAAAAAAAAAAAAACGGCCCAGAACGCATCAAAGACGCTGCACAACCCGCTGCACTGCGTGTGCAGAAACTCATACAGATCTGGTCTGCATTTGGTGTGAACAAGCCCTGAAACTCACATTGATCCACCTCTGTATGTATAGTACACTAAAGATAAATCATTACAAATCGTTTTCAGGTTTTAATTTAAGAAATAAAAATAAAAGCTGCTTGCAGGTAAAAAAAAAAATGGCAACATATATCTGCAGTGATTGCACAAAGAGCCAACGCTTCCTGGTAGTTTTGAAGCTTGCCCACCCCATTGTGCCTCTGGAAAGGCATCACCATTGCACTCTGCACTTACAGTACAATGAGGCAGAGAACAGTCCGCTGATGTCGTCATATCAGCAGTGCTCTCTGCATCCAGAACAGGACCCTGCGTGTCATGTGACCAGCCTGAAGACTTCTAAAAAATGGTGAGGAGAGGACAGAGTCAGGTTTTTAGAGACAGAGTGACTGTAACTGACAGCACTTATTCACAGACACTGTACTAGTCCCCGAGTAGCTATGCAGCTGACAGTCATCACTTTTTGCTCTGCTCAGGAAGCTTATTTACATAGTCCTCACATGTCTGATGAGGTGGAAATCTTACAGCTGCCATTTCTCAAAGAAGTAAAACATAAATAAGGGAAAGCGCTGTCTGTAGCCTCATCCATAGACACTGGAGCATGAGAAGCAAGCTGCACAGCACAGAAATATGCCACATGAAGCTATAGCCAATAGTGAGGTTCCCAGCTATAGTACACAACCAAAGTTCACTGAATAGCACTAGATGTTTACTGTATATTTCTTAGCTGTAGCTGATCTTTAAAGTGCACCTGTCACAGGGGTAGGTCATTAAGTGACACGGGTATAGAAATTGGGAAATCTGACACATTTCTGACATTGGTTTACAGCATACTTGTGTCCAGTCTGTGGCTCAAAAGATATTTGAGCTTAGTTTTTTGTGTTTTTTTAGTTAGGCCGCTCCAGAGACGCAACTTACCTCCACTGAGGTGTGCCCCATGACCTTGTGGCTGCTGCTTATGGTAGAAATCCTCCCACGAGTGCTGCTGGATACCCCCTACAGCACCGACCTTCCAGTAATGTGAGGGTTAATAGCAGTTGCTGGCAGTGGGACAGTCTGCAAAAATTGTGTCACTCACCCACCCCTTCTCTCCTCCATTCAATGAACTTGCACTATTAGTTCCCACAATGCAAAGTGACCGGTGATTGGAGGAGGCAGAGCGTTTCATTCATCCACCCTTCTTCTAATCACAGGACGCTTTGCATTGTGGGAAAAAACAGCACGACTTATGAATGGAGGAAGGGGCAGACAATCAGCGCAACCTTTGCAGACTTTTTCATACTGGGAGCAGCTACTGTTAACCCCCACAGCGCTGGCAGATTAATACAGTAATGGGTATTTGTCAGCACACGTGGGAGGATTTCTACCATAAGCAGCAGCTGCCAGGATAAGCGACACACCCCAATGGAGGCATGTCATATCCCGGGGGCGGCATAACAAAAAAAAAAAAACTAAACTTCAGCTTTTAAGTGACACTAAGCTCAGGAGTTACATTTTAAAAATGAATTAATGTACCTTAACTATTTGAGTATCACTCAGCTGTAGATCCTCAAACCATCTCTGAATTGGTGCTGACACTGTCCTTCCTTCTGGAGCGGTTTTGTTCCCCGTGGTCCCAGTGTGTGTTACAAAGTAGTCACCGCTTCACACTCACTCCTGTGATGGACTACAATCTCGCATTTCATTTACTAATTTGTATTGAGATTATCCAATTGCAGGTCCATCGCAGGAGTGAGCTTGGGGCGGTGTCTACTTTACAACACACGCAGGGACCATGGGGAACAAAAGTAGTGGGGGTAGCCCCACTGCAAGGGTTAATAGAAAAAAATTCCAGCAGATCCTGTGCCTCTAATGTGAGCCAAGCCAGAAATACACTTTACAATGAAGATCCCCCAAGAAAGGTAATTTTTTGTTTGTCTTCTTTTCCATTGACACTTTAAAGTCCAATTGATTCAATATTTTTCTACTGTAATTCTGAGTAAGACCTGCACTGTAACTAGTGCACCTTTACCAACTTCTATGTTTTAACCCCCCAAATACTGATAGGTTTCTTCACTTCCAAAAAAATTTGGGGTGCTTACTTTCCAAAAAGGGGTCATTTCAGAGGTGATCATACTGTCTTCACGTTTTTTTATATTTTTTAAAAGGGAAACTTTTTTTTTTCTTTATAGCAAAAAAATAATATATATTATATATATATATACACACACACACATACATATATATATACACACACACACACACAGTCCATTTCGGTTTCGGCCTGACATTCTGCTGCGAGAGGTGCGTTGCAGTGCCATTTATTTCAATGGCACCCCAAACGCGCCTTCCACTCACAGTGTAATCGCCTGCACAGGAACGCACAGTACAACAATGCCATGCATTCCAGTGCAGTGTGATTGCAAAATATTGTGCATGCAGTTTCATTCTGAAGTAATCTTTATGTTTGCAACACTGCATTTTTGTATTTTATTTTAATTTAATTAGAGCAGCCGCCATTGTAATTTGTAGGCAAGCGATTGAGGAAGGGGGAGGGGCTGTAAAAATGCAGATTAGCCACATCTTTTCAACTGCTCGTGCTGATCTGTCCAAAAAATTATATACATATATTAAACATTTTTATTTATTATCTCCATCCGAGTAACTGTCAGTCAAACAATCGCAGTGCTGAAAAGCACCCTGGACAGGGAGGGGTATTACAGGCTGGCACTCAGGTGGTTACAATCTGGCAACACTTTAAGAAGTTGTTTGAATCCATGTAGCCGTCAGTGGTACAAAGTGCACTGCAATAGAAATGAATGCACAGGTTGTTGTTTATCTCCCTGAGAATTGCACGAGGTCACCAGAACTGCATGATCCGGGCAAAGCCATGACATGAGCAAGAGAAAGTGCAGCAGGCCTCAGCACCATAGGCATGGCGATCGAGCCCTGTGTACACACATCTGCCCCAGGCCAGATCATAACACGACCAAGGCGACATCAGCCCACATTATAAACAAGACGTCGTCATGTGTATGGGAGAATGTCCACCGATCACTTCCCTCCCACCTCAAGCTAGAAAACATCCACGTAGAACAAGCCCGATCTGCAAAATGGCTTATGTGTGCAAAGCGTGTTGTGCTCACACTGCACAACGTGACAAGGCTGCGTTATAAACACACACACACCCAGAAGTTGCGCACACGGGCACTCGTCTCTGAAGGCCTGCGCTCACCATAACCATGGTGGCTGCATGAAGAAGAAAAAAAAACCAACAACCTCCATATTCCTCACACCCTGCACGAAGAGTGTGTCACGTAACCGGGTGTCCCCGAGTCTGCTTTATATAGCCCCCCACATACAGGTCACTTACCGAGCTGGGGGCGGTCACGGGTGACGAGCTGCTCATGTCTACGGTCTCTTGCCTTGCGCGCTGCTAATCGCGACCAAATGCGCGTGTACGAGGCCTGTACCCTCACGTGACTCTGAGACTGCAAAGCTCCTGTGGAGTGCGCGCTCCCGGCTGGGAAAACAGTGCGCGCGCCCGGGAGGGTGTAAAGCCAGAGGGGACGCTGACTGTGTTTACATGTCTCCATATCTGAGTAGGAGGTTGTCAGTATCAGCCTCTAATTGTGTGTAATTCGTATCTGAAACATGGTTGTTAGCAGTGCCTGGTTTCCAGTAACATCCCAACTCTGTTTCTGGAAATTGCTCCTAGTAATGACCACCTATAAATAAAGCTTGTAACTAAAGGTGGTCATACACCTTAGAATTATCGTTTGATTTTGTAGTGCTGTCATCAAACCCTGTTCGATTTCCGCACGATTGCCCCATCATGCACAGGCCAATGTGGATTTTCAAAATAAAAAGTTTTATTGATTTCAACATAACACATATACGGAGGACGTGGTAGTACATGGCTACAGCTGCCAATGTGGATTTTAATTATCGTCCGTTAGCAATACTAACGAATAAATCTTCGTCGATCAACAGAACAGATTTTCGTTTGCGCATGTGCAGTGTTCATGTTGCGATTTTTTGGTACAAAAACGCCACTAATCCATCCATTTTCGTTCCATTCGAAAAACGTTTTCTAGCCTGCCCATCAGACGAAATTCGCCAGTTGTACAGTAATTGTGATCGTTCACGTCCCATCAACTGCGCGATCATCGTACGGAAACCTGATCTAATTTTTGGAACAATACTCGCAAGGTGTATGGTTACTCTGGCGGATCAGAGCGGGGAGGGGGGAATCCAGCCCCTCCCCTGTCACAGCAGAGAGCCGTGACAGGATCGAGAGGTGATCGAACGCCGGTATGTGTTCGCTCACCTCCCGATCTACTGAGCCGACCTGTGACCATTGTCACAGGTCGGCTAGAACTATGAGGTGAGTGAAAAGCACTCACCTCATAGTTCTCCTTTACGACCTACGTCGTAGTTCCCCCATCCTAAATCATTACCAAGAAAGGAAAAATAATTACTGTGGACCCTGGCTTCTAGCCATTTCTCTAAGGCCTTGTTCATATGGGGGCAGGGCAATAGAATAGCGGCTTGCCACCTCCTGAATGGCTGGGGGGGTTATATTTCATGGGGGATATCACATGGATATACCAAGCTTGGCATTTGGCACGTGGTTGTGGCACAGTCTCTATAGTGTATCTTTTTTTTTCATTGTTGCAAAGCAAGGCATCCTGCAATGTGTACAGAACCATCTGGCTACAGTGCTAACCTGTCCATGCCTTGAACCCCTGTCTGAACCAGGTCTTAAAGAGGACCTTTACCCATATCTTTAAAATAACAACAAACACGCCTTTAGAAATGTTTAGGAATGACAATCTACAAACACATACTTCTAGATAATTGCCGGCTTTGTATTCTTTGCAATCCTTATTTCTCTTTTCTTCCCCGGTCTTCTGACAGTGGCCATGTTTCAGGTATCCCAACCTGAAAAAAGCAATTTCAGGGAGGTGCCCTTCTCATTTCAGGGAGGTGCACCCTGCCCCCCATCCCAGAGCACCCCCTGAAATGATAGCAGATAGCACAGGAAGCAATAGCTTCTTTGCTATCTGCTGTTTTTTTTTTAGTATTCTGACAGCTACAACAGTCAGAATAATAATAATTAGAAAAAAAAAACATGAATAGCTTGATTGCTATTGGCTATTTCAATTTGCAATATCCAATAGCAAGCTGGCTATTGCTGCTGCTGTCTGCTGCTGTCAATCACTAGAAGAGGACCTGATGGAGAACTTGAGGTCCACCTCTGCTGATTGACAGCAGCAGTGGGCAGGTGCAATAGCTCGTCTGCTATTGGCTATTGCCTTGGGGGATATTTATCAATGAAAAAAAACCTTTAAAATAATAACATTTTGAAAGGAACAGTGATTTTTAACATCACTTAAAGTGAAACAATAAAAATTCCTGTAAATATCGTGCCTGGGGGGTCCCCTTAAACTGCCTGTAAAGTGACGCATCTGCACGTTGTGTAGAGCCTGCTGAAGCACAAATTATATTTATAAAGAAAACAAATTACATTTAAAAAAAAAGTGTGTGGTTTCCCCTCCCAAACAATACCAGACCCTTTAGGTCTGGTAGGAAAGTTAGGAGGGACCCCATTAAAAAAAAAGTGTGGGGTTCCCCCCAAAAGTCATACCAGACCATTTAGGTCTGGTAGGAATTTTAGGAGGGACTCCAAGTTTCAATTAAAAAAAAAAATGTTTGAATGAGTATGGGGTACACCTACCCATTCACAAAAGGTTTAAATAAAAGTTTTAGAAAAGAGGCCAGACTTTTGAAAAAATCCTTTAATTTAAAAAAAAAATGGATCCACCTACGTAATCCTGGGTGACGACTCAACAAAATAAAAAATAAAACAAGAAAAAATAAATAGAAATCATTTTTTTTAAATGACGCCCACCGACCAATCCACTCGCGATAAACTCCAGCCGCAGAATGGCATTCTTACAGATGCTGGCAAAATATAAACAATTGGGCGCAGCTAGCGGTGACAGCTAGCTATCTCCGCCCAACTGTTTACAGTTGTACGGCATCTGACAGGTGAGCAAAGATTGGGCAATGTCATTATGGCTTTGCCCAATCATGGCTCTTACAGAGCACTATGCCCTGATTGGGCAAAATCTGGCACTTGACCTCTGTTCAGGTGCAAGGCTTTAGCCAGCCAGGGCTCACAAGGCACTGTGCGAACAGCCTGTCGAACGCCCTGACAATTCGTGTGTTCGCCGAACACACAAACTGCCGATGTTCGAGTTGAACTCTTGCTCGACTCGAACATGGAGCCCGTCGCTACTGATGACAAAGCAATCCCAGTGTGCATTGCTTTGGCAAACTGAAGTCATTTTGCCCTTTTAAAGCAGGAAGTGAATACTCTGCAAGTGTAAGTATTTCAGAATCACAGCTTTTTACACCTGACATGTCTGTGTTACTATTAATCATCATACATAGAGGGATGCATTGGTAGAATTCGATTTTTGAGTGCAAAGGTCCGCTTTAACCACTTGAAGTCTGGAGTGTTAAACCCCCTTCCCATCCAGGCCACTTTTCAGTATTCAGCGCTGCGGTACTTTGACTGACATTTATTCCGTCATGCAACGATGTACTGAAATGAATTGTATTCCCTTTTTTGGGGACAGATAGAGCTTTCTTTTGGTGGTATTTAATCACCACTGGGGTTTTTATTGTTTAATATATTACGGAAAAATTACAGAAAATTAAAAAAAGTTTCCCCTATATTAAATTCTAAAACATTTATTATTACCCAATTTTTGGGTAAAATATAAAAGACGCGGCCACGCCGGGTAAAAAGACACCAAACATATCAAGCCTTAAAATTGCGCACGTGCGCGGAACCTAAAGAAACGACATTACCCAATGGTCGGTCGAAAAAATCACGCTATACAACCGATCGACGGCTATAGAGCCGCTGATCGGTTGTACGTGAAACAGCCGTTAACGGCTGTAAAAATGAGCGGGTCTTTCCTGCCCGAGCAGGAAAAAAATGCCGTCTGGAGACGGCAACACGCTGATGCGAGTCAGCTGTCCTTCCGTTTTTTTTCTACGGGCAGACGGCAACTGGTTAAAGAGAAGCGTCAACCTCAGTTAATCCTATCATTTATTTAGTGCCTGTAATTTTACCCCTAAACCTCTCCCCGTTACACAATCAGATTAACAGGGTTATTCACACAAAAGGGTAAAGAATTTGGAGAAGGCAGGAGAAGTGAACGATCTAGTACAACAAATATGAACTAGGAAGTGAGTTGAATTGGAGAATTTTTCCAAATCAGCTATGCTGTCCTAGATTGTTCACTTCTCCAGCCTTCTCCAAACTCTACACTCTTTTGTGAATAACCGTGTTAGTTTTTTCTTCCAATAGAACATGCTTTTCTACGGGCCCTCACTCTGTGAGAATTTCACTCACCCAAAGACTCCTGGGATACTGATACCACACATCTTAAGGTGCCCATAGACCTTACAACCATCGCAAGACTTCTGTCTTGCAATGGTTGTAAGGTAATTAAAAAAACGTACGATCTGCCCACCTTGGACAGGCAGATCGTACTCGCGATGGGGCGGGCTTCCGATGACCGCAATGCTGAACGGGCAGTGTGCGCTTGGCCCGTTCTGCATTTATCTTACGAGCATGCCACACACCCGCCGACTTTTTTTCCAACTTTTGACAGACTACAGAAACAAAAACAAACAAAAAAGAGTGGGATCCCTCCCAATTTATACCAGACCCTTTTAGGTCTAGTAGGAATTTTAGAGGGGACCCCAACGCCAAAAAAATAAAAATGCGGGGGCCCCCTAAAATGCCTTAACAGACCCTTGATCTGAGCAGCAACCTGGCAGAGCAGGAAAGGGGGGGAAAGTATGTGCACTCACCCCTCCTTCACCATACCAGGCCACATGACCTCAACATGAGGAGGGTGCTTTACCAGGGGGAACTCCCTGGCAAAGCACCTGGTTTCCATGTAGATAAGGACAAGGGCCTCTTTCCACAACCCTGGCCCATTGGTTGTGGGGGGGGGAGGGGGGTGTGTGAAGGGGGGCTTATAGGAATGTGGATGCCCTCTTTCAGAAAAATCCCTACCACCCTCATGAATGTTACCCCTACTAATTCACCCAAAAAACTGTCAAATTGTAAATAAACACACCATAAAAAGTCCTTTATTTGGAAAAAAACACATCACAGGTTGTTGTCAAGTCTTTTATTAAAAAAAGTCCAAAGATGTAACCCCAACGTCAATCGCATCATCCAGTGATGTAGATCCACGTCAATCATGATGGACGATGGCCGCCGACTCGCTGAAAGAAAAAAATCCCAACGCCCGCTGGCACGTCTGATCCCAACGAACACCGGCCACAAAATTACAGCTCTGCTCCTGAATGTAAAGAAAGTGGTGGAGAGAGTCACGGCATCATGGGACTTGCTCTGCCCCTTTTGTTACATTCCAT